CTTGGCTTAACATAGTTAAGTAGTGAAATTTTACTTAGGTTCTTTGGCATGTCTGTAAGATTTAAAGTGGCATGCCTGTAAGATTTAAATTTTTTAAGTTGTATTAAGAAATTGTATTGTTCCAAAGCCAAAAACAGTTCGTCATACTGTATAAACAAGCGATATCTCGTAAGAGATTTAAAATAAGAATGAATTTTCCAAGGAAAAGACAGGGAATGAGAAAAGAAAAAACATACCAAAAGAGAAAGGAAAAAATAAAAGCTGTAAGTTATATGGCAATTTCCACGAAGTAGCCATAACAAATACAAAACTTTGTTTTTATGAACAATCAAAACATCTAGGCATTGGACATGTCTCTCTGAGCAAAAATGTCCACACCCAGCATTCTGAATAACTAAGAGCCCAGTATTTAAAACCCTGATACAGAAGTCTAAAAGATTTTGTTGTTCTTCACTTTATCTGCTTCCTTATTGTGACCTGTTTCAAACAGAATTCTCACATTGTTTCTGGTGCCTCTAACAGTTGTTCTTAGTTTAACTGAAAGTTACGGAAACAGCATTCCACAGCTAATTCTTACTGGAATTCAGAAAGATGAAAATATAGATACCATTAAGGATTTTAATTGTGAGAAGAGTTACAGTTGCCACAATTTCTCAATTCCATTATTTGAATATAAAAAGAAACAGTCATCTTTGCAAAAAGAGCTGAAGGTCGAGAAATCAAGTCCAAGTATTTAACTGCTGTAGGAGAAAACTTTGAATTATTTTCCAGCTAAATTCCAGTATTACAAACATCAAGTAATTACAGAAGTCAAGTCATATGTAAAAAACCCCACAATCCCCAAAAAAACAACTCGGTAATCCTGTCACTATACTACCCATTGGATCTTTAAAACAAAGTATCGATGCTGGCTTACCAAATGAAAGAAATACAATAGTTGTAATAGAAGAATGTTAAAGCTTTTATACAGTATTTCCAGTCAAGTTAGGGCAACAACTTTCGCAACCTGGTATAAAAAAAAACCCACTTGAATACCCATCCATCAACTTAGAAAAACTGCTCATGTCGATCACTTTTCTTTTTCAATTATGTTTGATTTTGAGCAAGTGGCAAGGTATTATCTATACTTTTTGCCTTCACAGATGACATCGTTTTAAACACCTAAGTTGCAGGGATAATTCGTGATTTACGGATAACTAACACACTACCATACTAGAATCAAAGTTGCAACAGAAATAGGAAGCAAAACTAGAAATAATTATGTGTTAAAAAGCCTATGTGTTCTTTCACTTTGGATTTAGGATAAACATGTTAACCTGTTTCTTCTTCTGTTTTAAAGACGACAGACATTAATTTTAATTGTGGCCGTTGCTAACTTGTAAGCTATACTTGGCTGAAAACAGTATTATTTGTAATATACATTTGACTAATATACAGCCAGGCACATTTGTAATGAGACACCTTGTTGATGTTTCTGAATACACATTCCTCTTTATACATATGCAAACATGTTTCCTTTGCAAAACAGCACTGTATTGCATATTAGGACACAAGATGGCGGATATTTATTTCACAGTCCGGTGGAACTAAAACTTGTGACAAGATATTAACCAAGTGCCATTTTCTTGAACATTCCAATGGATTCACCAGTCCTAGGAAAGAATATTATTTCAATTTACTGCATATAAAAATGCAAATTACTGCCTGTTGTAAAATCCTTTATCTAGTTATCTGCCAAGAAAGAAATTTACATGCTTTAGTGCCCTCCTAATAAAGGAATGTATTGGGTGTCTGTGCTGTGCTGGCAGTGGGGAGCTGCAGGGGTGGCCTCTATGAGAAGAGGACAAGGCTGCCCCGTGCTGCACACAGCCGCTTCCAACTGGCTTCAATGGACTCACCACAGGGCACAGCTGAGCCTGTCAGCTAAGACGGTGGTGCGGAGCAGAGGTTCGCCTGCAGCCCTTGGAGAAGACCATGGGAAGCAGGTTGTCCCTCTGCAGCTCATGGAGGACCAGAGTGGGGCAGATATCCACACTGCAGCCCACAGAAAGTCCACGCTGGAGCAAGCTCCTGGCAGGAGCTTTGTGTGGCTTTGTTTCCCATCATCCTACTCTATTTTTAATTGGCAATAAACTAGATTAATTTCCCCCAAGTCGAATCTGTTTTGCTTGTGACGGTAATCGGTCACAGTGATCTTCCTGTTTTTATCTCAACCCACAAGCTTTTCTGTCTTATTTTCTCCCCATCCTGTTGAGGAGGGGGAGTGAGAGAGCATCTGGGTGGGTGCCTGGCAGCCAGCCAAGGTTAACCAACCACAAGGAAAAAACACAAAAAATGAGATTGTGACAAGCCACACCTCACAGAAGGCTTTCCCTGACAAGCTTCTTTCCTTTAGACACTCCTACTGGGAATCCAGATGATCTCAGAAGATTTGGAAGAAGTCCCAGAAGATTATTCTGTCTCAGCAAGAGTCTGCCAAAGGCTCCAACAGCTTATATGTTCTATGAAAAGTAAAGGAACTATTTTGCAGCTCCAGTTCTCAGCCTACCATCCTCTGGAAACCTGTATTTCCTGGAAAATCTAGAACTACCATTTCAGGATTTCTCTCACCTTAGCCCTGGCCTAGTAATTTCCACTCCCAGAACCTTGCACACAGTAAGCCACACTCTCTCAAAAATCACACATTGTCCTGTGTTTTCTTTTGTTCCTGTGCTCGTTTTGGCTGGGGGAGAGTTAATTTTCTTCATAGTAGCTAGTATGGGGCTATGTTTTGGATATTTGCTGGAAACAGTGTTGGTAATACAGGGATGTTTTCGTTACTGCTGAGCAGTGCTTACACAGAGTCAAGGCCTTTTCTGCCTCTCTCCCCACCCCACCAGCGAGTAGGCTGGGGGCCTGTGCTCGTTTTGGCTGGGGTAGAGTTAATTTTCTTCATAGTAGCTAGTATGGGGCTATGTTTTGGATATTTGCTGGAAACAGTGTTGGTAATACAGGGATGTTTTCGTTACTGCTGAGCAGTGCTTACACAGAGTCAAGGCAAAAAATCTCAACCCACGAGTTTTTTCACTTTTACTCTTCCGATTCTCTCCCCCATCCCACCGGCGGGGGGGAAGTGAGTGAGTGGCTGTGTGGTGCTTAGTTGCTGGCTAGGGTTAAACCACAACAGTCCCTTCTGGGTTACAAGTCAAATTCCTTGGTAGCATGACAATGGATATTTTCCTTTCCAAACCTGAAAATTACATGTAGTCAGTTATAGCAATGAAATATGTTTAGGCCAGTAGTCTGTGGACTACAGAACAAAACATTCTGTAGAGTCTAGAAAGAACAGTATGAAGAGACTCCATAAACTTTAAACATCTCAGCAGTATACAGTCACTCTGAATCATTTGAGTAATAAAAGGTTAAAGACTTTCTCCTCCACCCAACTCACTTAAAGATTCCTTCTATTTAACACTCACACAGTCTAATTAATCTTATGTCAACAAACATGATTCCAAAAGTCAGGTTACAGTAACTGGAAGAAGCTGCCACACCAAAATATATGAATGAAACAGGAACAGCTATAGAAAGCAGGAAAGTATTAGTATGCGACACATTTTGTATTTTCTGGAATTATATTAATCTCATAGCAGAATTCAACTGACTTGTTATCAAAAATTAACGTTGTTTTATGTAAAAATCAAACCGCAGCCCTGAATCATTTACTGCCAGAGCAAATCTTATTATGAGAATGGAGTATCTATTATGTTATGACCTTTCTCAACATAAAATGTTAACCAAATAACTGTTCATGAATGAAACATCGCTATTTAAATTAGCTAACAACTGGATACAATTCCGGACTTTTTTTTTTCCTTCTGCATAGATGAACATTTAAGAAGCTATACTTGATAAGTCAAAAGGATTGAGTTAATCAAAGTAATGAAAACAAAAAAAAAAAATCCTACTTTGTGGTGAAAAACTGTAAGCATATATTTATTGCTCAACAGGATACAAGTCAAAATTGTCAGAGATATAATCTTACTCTAAATTATACATTCAAAGCTAAGAAGACATTGTGACAGCTGCAAAATCACTGCCAGTAACACAATCTTCTATTCCTTAATGACCAAGCATGTACCAGAAACACGGTGTCCACAGAGCCATGTCCTTTACCCTCTGGAATGATGAATGACTTTGTAATGGAATCTAGCGCATCCATGCAGCAAAAAGGCTCAAAAGAAATAAAAAGTTTGACTACTTAAGAACATCAGTATAAAAGCAGAAAACCGTCATGTTTTTCAGACTTGGTCTAGCTTACTTACACTCTATTTCAAGTTTGCGCAGGACCACCAGCATCTTTTTGCTTCCAATGAGTGATGCCCAGATTAACCTATTAGTATATAAAGGCTTTCATTTCTAATTCTAATGCGTACAGCTTCTTTCTCTCCTTATATCTACGACTGGATTTTCAAATTAGCAAACAGACAAACATCAAGTAACATAGGGGAGAAACAGCCAGCAACTAGAAAAGTGTGTCTACTCTTCTTCAGCTTGTCACCATATGTCTGTCTTCCCCAGAATGGAAGCAGATGCAATACTATTTCAATACTAATGCAATACTATTAATGCAAAGATGTCAGAAACCTCACTTAAAATCCTTTCATCCTTCCTGTTGAACTGCATTTTTGTTAATCTACCTGTCTTCCTGGCAACAGCTTCCCCCAGTTTTTGCATTCGAATCCTCCTTGCCATATTTTCTATCTTTCTGTCTTCCCCAGAATGGAAGCAGATGCAATACTATTTCAATACTAATGCAATACTATTAATGCAAAGATGTCAGAAACCTCACTTAAAATCCTTTCATCCTTCCTGTTGAACTGCATTTTTGTTAATCTACCTGTCTTCCTGGCAACAGCTTCCCCCAGTTTTTGCATTCGAATCCTCCTTGCCATATTTTCTATCTTACCTATCCCCTTCCTTTTCAAATTCAGTAATTTTTAAAAAAGGTTTATTCTTACCAGAGTCACTGACAGATTCATAACCCTTCCAAACTGATCAACATAGTAGACATTATCCTGGGACCAGGAATCAAGGTGAAGATAATTATACATGCCAAAAGCACGCATGTGGTCAAGGGTATATTGATCATCACGAAGTTTCACTTCTGCTACAGCTGGGGGGGAAAAAAAAAAAAAAGACTATTTCAACAATTATTTATTTATAATTAAGTAATTTAAAGTTCAAACTAACAATTCAAAAATATTCTTCCATCCTTAGTCCATAGGTCTGGTTTATTTGAAGAAAAATACAGTATGTATACATAGTTTAAAATTTCACCATAAACTTGGAAAGCAGGTCATCCACACCAAAGGCCACTGCAGTCATTCACTGTGATCATGTAATAACTATTACCATTTATAGTGGCCTACGCTGTCTCTTCCCAACATGTGTTGAGATTCAATTTGTCAATAACCCTCAGAAGACGAAACGCACATGCAACAACTAAGTAAAACCTACTTTTAAGTCTGCTTGGGAAGAGTATGAATGATTCCTGATATGTACATGGTACTACAGTAAGGGAAAAAAATTCTGCTCTACAGTAACTCCAAGAAAACAACAGCCAAAAGAAATATCCCATTAACTACATGGATTTCATAGTTTTAAATTCTGAACCAAGCTATCAACACTTGCAATACAAAAGATTAAAACAGTACAAAGCAGAATTAGTACATGGTCGTTACTAAAAAACCTATGTTCCTAGCACTCCCACTGAGGTTGAAATCTTGAGAAATGTCCAAGATACCATGAAAATTTCAGACTAAGCTTCTTCTAACTGAAAGAGGCTGCAAAGAATGGCTGTTCACTATAATGGCACCTTCTTTAAGGCAAGAAGCATGCTACTTACAGCCATCCACTTGAGCAAGATTTTTTCCAAATAGAAAACGTCTCGTCAGCTACCAGTAATCACAACTGGGGTTATCGTTCTAAGACTAACAAAGTTTTTATTTAAACTAGCTGCAGCTCTTTCTTCTTATTCCATATCTATACAGAGATCAAGCAGCTGAAGTCCCAACATCTCAAAATACAGAAAAATCCTCAAGTTTTAGCAAAGACATTAGCAGAAGTCTAATCCATCCTTCTGCAAATAGTCTCAGACAGACTGGAACTCCAGTTCACTCTCCAGTACAGTCATCCCAGGATCCTTAGCTTCCCTGCAGGAAGATGATCTCAAACTTCACACAACAAGCAAAATCCTTTAGAAAGTTTTAAGTAAACTCTGTCAGCCCATGATGATTAGCCTTCAAACCCAAGGTATGGGGAAAGCACCTCAAGGCTAATCCTTCTCATAGCAACAGTTATTTTAGTTCCCACTTTTTCAGCTTCCACTTTCTTCTCCTTTCTGCTCAGAAACAGAGCAAAGCTATTTCCAGTATTTCAGTTCCATCCACCCCCGCAACAGGGACCATTCACAACTCTAAGCAGCAGTCCTCATCTTAGATTTCTTACACTCTTCTTTAGCATCTACTTAGATCCTACCAAAGAAGCAGTAGTTTATTCTACTCTGTCAGAACACCAATTACTCCAAACAGTAGTTCATTTGATAGTGCAATATCAGTGCCACTGCATAGCTATCACAATACCATCAATCAGATAGTCACTAGATGGATCAGAACTGATCCCATTAGAGATACTGGCTATTAACATAAAAGTGGCTATAGGAAACTATGCAAGATTATACTGTCTGATTAATTAAAAAATCCAGTCATACTATACAAAATGCTCACAAAATGACAGTATAATTAGCAATTAGTCTTCTAATCACTGTTGATATTTGCAAACCAACAGCATTAATTCCACTCAGCTCAAATCATTATTCATATTCACCACACAGGAGGGATTTCCGTACCTCTGCAACTAATAAATTACTGTTGCCCAAGCCATGGCCCTTCAAAAAAAGCTAGAATATCAACAAAGGAGCGAGAAGAAAATACACCTGTCATAATGGGAAAGACTGTTACTCATTCCAATTTCTACTTTAACTGATTAGAATATTTTACAGTAAATTACACTGTAAAAGATATTAGAAGGATGTGTTGTGAAAACATGTTTTAAAGCTGTTTGTACAATCAAGCTTTATCACAGAGATGTTTTTCCCAACACGACAAGAGATGATGTGAATATTCTGTAAACAATTAAAGACACACCAAATATAATCTAGGATAATTATTTTCAGTGAAACCAAGTACATGTCATCTACTTCCTGTATAGCTACATTAACTGATCTTCTGAAATTAGAATACACATGCAGAAGCATGTAAAGCTTTTTCAGCACAGAAAAATCTAAAATTGCCTTATTTTGTAGAGCTTCCTTTCTCCACTTCTTCCCCCCGACCCCCTATACATGTTGCTACTGTCAGAATTGTAACTAAAACACACAAATAGTGAAAATAGTCCAAACTAGATGCTTCCTAAAGCAAATGTATCATCTTTCAAGAAAATTCTTGGAACAACATACTATTGATTACTAATTGTAAGGTGATAAGCTTTATAAAAGCTGGAAGAACGTGAATAAATTCTCCGTCCTTGAGTTTTTCAGCATGTAGTCCTGACAACCACTGAATACTAAGGGGTCAGGAATAGGAGATTCAAATCCCTTGCATAATTGGAATATGCAATTAACTCTTCATAAACAGAAGTCAGAAACTATACCATTTGTAGGTGATTTTAAACCAGGAAATCAAACAAATGTGTACTCTACTGTCATGAAACACTTGAAATAAGGTTATCAACTGCTTGCAGAATGTATCCTGTATATATAGCTCTCTGCCAAGAAGTAATTAGAGAAACTATTCCATCCTCGATTAACTGAAACCCATTCTGTGATCAAGTGAAATCTGTGCACAGATGCCATCTGCTATCATGTACCATGTGCTCAGATAGTTTATAGGAGATTTTACACTAGGATGAAGTTCATTCCTTCCTTTCTACAGCCTTCCAGGTTCAAGTTTTCTTGATGGTCCTTGGAAAAATGAGAAAACTAACAGCTGCGTGCAAAAAAATGAAGGACAAAAGAGAGAAGAAATGAAGATTTTTAAAAAAGTAAATTCAGAAAAGGAGAAGTTAATACAAAGGGAAAAGAAGAAATATTTCAATCAGATCATCACCTTATTCAGTCGCATAGTTTGGGGGGTTTTTGTTTGGTTGTTCGGTCAGGATTTTTTGCTGATTTTTTGTTGTTGTGGGGTTTTTGTTTGGTTGGGGTTTTTTTGGGGGGGTGTGGCTTTTTTTGTTTGTTTTTGTTTTTTTTAAGAGTCCCAGACTAATTCACTAGCTTCAACTTTTTGGGTTCAATTGACAAGCAGCAGTTAATGACAGCTATATTCAACAGAATGATACATGGTCTCCTTCAAGTTTCTGATAACTAGATCTGCACTACTAAAACCCAGGAACATTGATTCATACTCTGTCACACCAGAAAAGAGAGCAAATATACAGAATGTATAAATTAAATCTCAGCTTTCAATATTATTTCCCAACAACCCTAGTCAGGTGTGATATTTCAGACCAGTACAAAGAAAATTATGCCACTTTTCTAAAATTGTATTTATCTCCAGCTCCATGCTTAAAAAAAGTAATTTGACTCAAAATATTTCAAAGATAATTAAGCAAAGACTTTCACTCACACCACCTTTACTTAAAAGCAAAAGCACTAAATACAAAGCAACTCATAAGAATGAACAGGAGTAAGATGTCCCTAACCTAACTGGATCTTATTATAATTAATACTCTGCATTGCAAAAAAAACCAAAACAAAACAAAACAAAACTCCTCTGAATAAAGAGCACTATCAAGAGACTTATACTTTAAATGAATAGTGAAGTCTTACATCTGCCATCAAACACTATAAAAAAGAAGAACGAAAAAAAAAAGTAGAGAAAAAAGGGTGAGAAACACCCCCTCCCCCCGATTTTTAGATGTTTTACTGAATACATTGAAAGAACTTTACAATACCAGAAAATATGTAAAATAATTATATTAAAATATTATTTGGGGGCATTGAATGTTATATGCTTGTATGTCATACTTTGTTTTGCAATGCCACCCAGTGGAAGCAATTTAGTATTTCATATACACTTACCTGCTAGTGGAAGAGATTACATTAATTTATTTTCTAGTATCAGCATTCAAAGATCCTTCTAACCATGCACTAATTTTTTTTCTTTTAATATTAACAAATAAGTTTTTATTGTTAATGGCAGCATCATCTCACTGTGTTTGTTGCTGCTGTTGTTGATTAAAAGTACAAGACTTGTTTATTCTACTGCACAGTAAGTATTAATAGACTAAACACAAAAATTTACTGTTTAATAAACACATAGCTTGCTGAAAACAAGCACAGGCTGACAGATACCATGTAATGAAGTATTTTTGCCTGATCAAATTACTTACACAGGTGTGAAAAGTAAATGGGATCCATCACACACTAAATTGAATAAATAAATTGAACAAGGTCCAAAAACTAGAAAGACATTTGTGAAAGCATCACTATAGCAATGCCTTGATTTATAAGCTGACTTGTGCCAGCTGCAAGAACCATTCTCTTTAACACCAATTACAAGGCAGAACTCGCCTCTGCGTTATCTTTTTCTTTCTCAAGAAATTAAAGTACAACCCAAGAACAGATACACATGTGCCTGAGACCTAAACCTAGATTTATGAACTACAGCTGTAAATATCTGAAAAAGCCATGGCTCACAGTTTCTTAGTAGTTCCCATACTTTAAAGACTTTTTTCTATATTTAATTTTTCAAATAGAAATGGAAAATTCAAATGGAAATCTCTATAAATGTTTGAAACATGTCAGTGCCTTTGGCTCCATAAAAAGACTCAAATGTATGTTTTCCATGTATCATTACTAATTGGCAACTACTTTTCACTAAAGTACGGTGAATGGATGACTACTTTTCACTGAAGTACAGACCTTCTAGTCTAAACAGGCTACAAATAGGGCAGTCATTTATTAACACCATTTTTCAAGAAAAGTGATTAAAAAACCCATAAATACATGTGATCAAAAGAATACATTCTCTGCATATTCTCCTGGCTTGCAACAAGAGCTCCAAGCTGGAGTGAATGTTTACTATGCCTTTCAGATGTTCTTATATCTAAAAGCATACACTACATCGTATGTGTAATGGTTCTGCCAAATAGACAAGCTAGAAAGGAAAGGCATGAGGGATACCCACATTTGAACAAATTCTAGGCCCCTGGGGAAAAAAACTAAAAAAAAGGAATCAAGTTACATCTGACCAGTGGAAGCCAAGAGCAAGGTTCTCATTCCTTTAAAAACCTCACGCATCTTAGACACGCTCCTTGTTGGAGACAAGGATTTGCCCCACAATCACTGCTTTGGGCTCTGCTGAGATCAGATCAGGGCAGGGCAGAAGAGGTGACAGTAAACGAGACGCTCTTTCCTCCTTCCCAAAGGTTCAGTGATCTAAAAGAAAGGCATTACAAAGCTCAACGCAAAGGAAGCATTTGAAAATAAGTTATGGAAATAAACTAAGGAAAATAAGGAGAAAAATAGACAAAATTTACGGTGAAGATTTGGGAATTAAGGGCATAATAGTGTGGGACTCATTACTGGTCGAAACATGTTACCAGGATGAGAGATGAGAAAAGAGAAAAAACTGAAAGTTTAGATTAACTAGGACAGAATGGGTAGGAGTAAGGAAGAAATAAAAGAATAATGTGCAAATCAGAGTATTTAAAAGGGAACATAAGATATCAGAATTTCACCATTCTTCTTCACTGTGACCATATATTTAAGAAATTCACTAGAAAACTCCCCTCTATTTATTTATTTATTAGCTCTGTGGTAAATAGACAGATAACTTTAAAATTTCTTTCTGCTTCAGCTGCACATCTGACCACAGCAAATTCCAGGCAACCAGTTTCACAGTTAAAGGCAAATTAGAACTGAATACTAAGTTTTACACGATGGTCAGGAAATGAAGCTCATTGTAGTCCATGTGAGCATGACAACCACCACAAGTTGCCCCGCAATATCATGTGCTGCTCTCCACCTGCTCCAGTAGTAGAAGCCTGCATCAATTCCATGTGTCAATTTTTTTTGGTCATTTTATTTTATAGCTAGCAGTGAAATCCATAAAAATTGATAAATATAAAAACATAGATGAAAATATTGACAAAGAAGATTAATACTCTGATGTTTAATACACAAGTTTGTAGTAATGCTGCATAAATACTTCAACTACAGCCGAGGTAACTCAGTTCTACTTAAGAATGAGCACCTATTTCTATTTATTGTCACATATTCCAAGTACTGTAAACCCTACATGTTCATCTTACTGCCATGAAGTTTGGGATGCCACACAGGCAGAACTCCAAATCCAAGCACTCCTGAAATAGTTTCCTGGAAAACAAACAAAAAATTCAACAGCCTTTGCACATTAATCTTCCAGATTCTACTACAACATTTTTGCACACAGTTATGAATAAAATCACAAATTAGTCATGCTGACAGTGTTCCTAAACATTTGACCTTTTTTTCAGTTGTTGTACTTTACTCACTCCCACTTCAAGGAAATAAAATCAAACTCTTCGCTCAGTGACAAATATTAATTTAATAATCCACAAACTACCAAGTTCTTCATCATGTTCCTGAGACTTTTAATCTGCTCAAAAATGTGTTGGAAACCAGCAGTCCTTGGCCTTCTTGCACAGTATTAATTTATTCTCCCGTGCAGTAATTTTAAAAATATAATACACTGTGTATATATATATATACACACCATCCATGGTCTCTACAACTCAACCCGTTATTCCTGCGCAACATAAAAGTCAAGTTATGGAAGGATGCCCTCAGTCTACTGCATATGTAGACCACTGACACCAGAAAATACAAAGTTCAGGTACAGAACATCTCTGTACTGTGAGGAAACTGCCTTGAAGTAAGCAGAAGAAAACCAGCAAGGAGAGTGAGCCAGCTGTATGGCCTAAGAGCAGGCTGAAATATGGACAAACAAAATACCTTGAAGACAGATATAGGGCCTGGTTTGGTTTATATTTCAGGTTAGTAATTTTAAAAAGCAACAACAACAAAAAAGGCTTTCCACTCTCCAGTGGACTGATATCTATCTATATACACACACACGCGCGCAGAACAGAGTAAGTGACTTGGTATTAATGATTTAGTAGGACAGCCAAATAAATTGGACTGAAATGAGTCAGGGTCTTTGTGCTGTGAGAAGAGGAGAAAGAAAAGAACACAGACACACATACCCACCTTCTATCACACAAGTTACTGTAACTATTACGTAAAATATCTGAACAGACAAGAACTGACTAGATCCATCTATCCATTAGCAACTCCATCATTCAAATATTTTAATGAAAATCTGTAATCCTCATCTATTTAGAATAGGTGCACAACTGACTATCCAAGAACCACATAGCTTGTTTGACCATAAGGAGAACATCAAATAAAGGACAAACTAAGAGACTGTAGCTTTGCTATGCTAACTGTTGCCATCTTTGACACGGCTGTAGTACGCTCCTAACACACATACACTCACATTTGGAGTGTCTTTTAAAAGGCGACACCTACATCAATCTTACAGTAAAAATGTCAAACTACGTAAACAAAAGTGTTACTCTCATTAAATTTTCCAGTTCTGTCATAGATACATATACAGTGTCACCTAACTCATTCACTCATCCTTCAATACGCAATTCACGTACAACTTCAGTCTTATTGCTGACAGTTCACCATGGCAAACATACCTTTCTGTGCCACTACTAATACAATGTATTCAACACAAAACTAAAGTAACATATAACAGATAACTCTGTAGACAGGTATATTGTTCAGTAAATATATAGAGGCAGAGATCAGTCCACCCAAATTGTATATTACTGTCCTAGCTTTATAAAAAAAGGAAACTAATTTGTCCACCTTACAAAAGACCTAAATTTCACAAATCAATAAAGCTCGAATGCTGAGAGATTTCAGGGGGCATGGGTAAGGTTGCAGGCACACACCCAACATGACTGTGTTAATGTTCTTCTCGGTGAATTGAGAACTCAGTGAAATCATCCATTAATGGACCAATACCTCAAACGCTCATAATGCCTAACAGAAAAAGCAGAGCATGGAATTAACAGGCTGAAGATCCACCTCTGAACTGTGGGCAGAGTAAGAAGGAAAAAGGGTTAATTAGCTAAAGTTTGTAATGGATACTCATTTCATATACGGGTCTCTAAATCGAATGTATTCGTTTCAGACACCATCACTTTGAACTACCTCAGCTGGTCATCTGACCTTACCACGTGTGCACAAGCCAAGGCCAGATTTAGCACACCGATTTTCTTAACCATTTAGAAACTGAGGTCAAACTCGCAGACAGTTGCAAGACAATGATTCGACATTTTGACAAGTCGGAGACCTTGGTCCACCATGAAGCCACACGAGGCTGGGGGGGGGGACGGGGGGACACACTCCAATGACAACATTGCACCCAATTATAACGAGAAAAGTCGAGACGAAACGCCGAGTCTCTTAAACGCCCGCCGTTCCCGACAGGGGACAGGCGCGCAGGCCTCCCGGTAAGGCGGGCCGGGCTTTCCCCACCTCAGGGCACGCTTGCACCCAGGGCCGCTGGGCCGGGCCGCGGAGCACCGC